GAGGGCATTGGATCCCTTGGAACTGGAGTTATGGACAGTTGTTAGCTACCATGTGGGTGCTTAGAATCGAACTAGGCTCCTCTGCAAGAGCAGCCAATGCTCTTAACCTCTGAGCCATCTCTCTACCCCACAAATATTTTTAAAAAGATTTTGTTTTTAATTATATGTGTATGGAGGTGGGGCACATGCATGTGAGTACAGAGGCCAGAGTCTTCAGATTCCCCTTGGGCTGGGGTTACAGATGGTTGTGAGCTGCCTGAGTAGAATCGAACTAGGCTCCTCTGCAAGAGCAGCCAATGCTCTTAACCTCTGAGCCATCTCTCTACCCCACAAATATTTTTAAAAAGATTTTGTTTTTAATTATATGTGTATGGAGGTGGGGCACATGCATGTGAGTACAGAGGCCAGAGTCTTCAGATTCCCCTTGGGCTGGGGTTACAGATGGTTGTGAGCTGCCTGAGAACAGAACTCTGGTCCTCTGCAAACGCAGTATGCACTCTTAACCCCTGAGCCATCTCTCCAGGCCCTGGCAACAATGTTTTGAATCAGAGCTTCTTTTCTTGGCCCATCTAAGTAATTTAACTGTTCTGGCAGGAATAAAGATGTTCTAAAGAGATACTGTGCCCTTTCCTTCTGCTATATATTGTTGAGACAATGTTTGTCAACAGTGGTAAGTAGACTTACTATGAGCAGGTAAAGGGTTCTAACTAATGTATTTAAAATTATATACAAATACATGCATATGTGCTTATATATAGGAGTGAAAGTTGCTTCCATGAAGGAAAGTTGGAGTGGTATTGGTTTGGAGCAGGAGATGGAGAGGATATGCTTGTTGAAAGAATCTTTTATGCTTTTTGAAATTTTATGATATATAAATGATCTTTTCAAAACTGTTACTTTTAACTCAAGAAAAGTTTATTAGAAATTAAGAAGAGTAGATACCTTTTTATACTCACAATTATTTCTCCCTTTATTAGAGTTTAAGGAAAAATCCTCAGAGCAGGCAAGTTGTAAATTTCAGTAGCTGGCCCAAGGAGGAGAATGGAGGGGAGAAGGAAGAATTGCCATACAGCTATTCCCTACAGCTATTTAGAGCTGACATAGAGGTCAGAGGTCAGACACATGGCAGACTAGCAGCCGTATGCTGAAGAGGGGAGCTCTACCAAGAGTAAAGAAAATGTTGGGGCAGCCCAAAGTGTTAGGGAAAGCATGGTTAGAAAAGAGAAAGAAGAAAAGGAGAGTTTATACTTTCCTGAAGAATTCAGAAAAGTGGGCAGACTTACAAAAGCCACATGTCTGTGGTCTGGTCCATAAGCACTGCACTAGGAGGCAGGGGCATTCCAGGCAGGAAAAGTTTACCATCTCATAAATGCACTAGTTATTCTGCCTATCTCTTTAGCATGACTCAAGTGAACCCACCTTCCTAGAGGTGACCCTGTGATCAAGTAATGGATTCAGAGAAACTGGAATGTCAAGTCTCCACTTAGGCCATTTTTCTACTTCCCTCTCAGTGTACAAAAGCCTAATGATGGGGGGTAATCAACGGCTACCTAATTGGAGGAAACGCATGTGTGGTGCTATAAACTTAGCCAAATACACATAGCTGGAGAGGTCATAGATCTTAGAGAAAACTCCAAGGCTGTCACATCCCTAGACAAATGTAATTTCTTACTATGTGCAAAATATGGATCCTTTATAGACAAGTGTCCCAGTCACCACCCATCAAAGAAGCTTATTTTTCAAGAGACAGAGATAATTACAGAGTCACACACAGAGATTGTAAATTGCCCAAGCCTAAAAGTGGCACATCTACAATGCAACCTTTACACCTTAAGGCTCATGGAACATAGAACAAGGAATGAAGAGGACACTAATGCATCTTTCAATTCTTGTCAATGAAGCTCCTTCATACAGTAGAGGACCAGGAATGCAAAATGTCACAAATGGCCAAAGCACAGAGAATAAGAGTCTGCAGAGTGTGGGTCCTTGGACAGAACTTCTGTATTAAAATCCACCCACCCAGGGCTTAGGGATCATTGTAGAAGAGGGAGCTGAAAGATTGCAAGAGCTCAGGAGGAGGTAAATGACCATATGGAAATGAGAGTCCTACAGGCTCATGGTACCCTTCTCATGTGAACCTACTGCAATGGTGTCAGTATGTAAAAGACCCATGCAAACCCGCACTTCAACCTCATATTGATTAGAATCGCCTGGAGAGGCTGTGGGGCTCTGAGGGTAATTGTGACCACATCATTCCTTTCAGAAAATCAGGGAACACAGGTATTAGATAGACCCACACTTTTTCCTCAGATCACTGGAAATTGTCTGCTAGTATGGAAATTTGTTTGCTTTTAGCAGTGTAGTGCACAGAGCTTCTTCTTTCCAGGCTCTATTGCACTTGCAAAGCTGGTGTTTTCTTTCTAAATATCCATCAATGTGGAGCTGGGCGTGGTGTGGTGGTGCACCTCTTTGATCCCAGTACTCAGGAGGAAAAGGCAGGCAGATATCTGTGAGTTCAAGGTCCTCTGCAAAAGCAGTCAGTGCTCCTAACCACTGAGATATCTCTCCAGCCCCTAAAAAACACTTTTTAATAAGAGCAGCAATATGATCAAAGGAAAGGGGTGATGGACTCACCAGGTTCCATGCAAGCCCTGCTTAGAAACATTTTCATCTCTTTTCTAAAAGAAAGCTTAGCCTGTATAAACATCTGACCCACTAAATTATATGCTATACTACTTTTAACCATAAGAGAATGGCTTACAAACTCTCAAATCAATATTATACAGCATGTAATATTGATTGGACATTGTGTATCCTCTGTCCTTTACCAAGGCTTTCTAAACACCCAACCAGCTCTTAGCTGTAAAGCTTAGAAGCAGTAGGACAATTTGGAGCCTTAAGCCACCAAATACAGAAAGAAGTTTTTCCAAATTTTCCAAAGCAATTTATAGCATGCCTGGAGCATGATTTAGGGGAGACCTAAATCATGGGGTCCAACATGGTAGTCACTACTTGAATATTCACTACAAGCTATTAGCATAGTACTGCTTTGATAGGTCATAGTTGACTTAATCTGTCATCAAGTATCTATTTGGTATGTAGAGCCTTGACATCCAAGCTCTTGCCTATGACCACTTCAGTGGTTTCCAGCTATCTTGAAGGATTTACATTGTACAGTGCGACTGGGCCGTTCTGCTGGACCAAAATTCTTTCTACTTCCTTTAGTTCTTTCCAACCCGCTCAGCAATTAAATAACCCTTTGTATTTCTTACATCATATTAAGGGAAACAAATACCAGCTTTGCCAACTTTAGTTTACACAATTCATAGTCATCTATATTTCACAAGCATCTCTTAGAAAAAGTAGTGAATTAAATGTTTTTCAAGGCATATGAAAAATATATGATTTGGGTGAAAAATTTTCTTATACACTAATGTGTTTTAAACATTGTATGGTAATCATTTCACTATAGAGATGTTCCTTGACTCAAATGTAGAGTTGGTAAATTAGGATCAACTAGTGAGGTGTATTAAATTCATTTCTTACTTCCAATATTTTGCCTTATAAAGGGTTTATCGAGATGCTCCCTCATCCAAGCCAAGGAGCAGCTGTACACACACCATCTCTAGAGTTTCTGCAAAGTATCTTTACAATTCCACACTTAATGCCAGCTACTCTGAGATAATAAAAAACCCTACCTAATTGTTATACAGCATGGAGAATTTTTTAAAATCCTATTTTCCAAGGAGGATAGTTTATGACATTGTCTTAAGTTGCTACAGATTCATATGCAGCGAATCCTTCTATAAGGTGTGTAGAAAAAAATGAGCCAAAAAGTGTGTGTATCAGTATAGCACTGTTTATTATAAACAACCAGATGACAGTGTATGTGTGCATTCAAAGGACAGAAGGCAGGTTGTTATAATCAAAGCATCATTTCACTCAGGCAGGGGTAGCTTCTTTTTGTTGTTGGTGTGTTTTACATTCATTTGAACTTATCTTTTATGCGAGAGTCACCAAACCTCGTAATATTCAGCTGTTGAATCACAGCAGATAAGACAGTTTGGAATACATGGTATATTTTGCCTTATTAAATATATACACCAAATATTTGGATGCACTCAGAATTAAGCAGGAGCTTGAAGTCTTGCAGGTGATAGTTATAAAATGCTTTTGTTGCTGTTTTTTTCTGTTACGAGGAGAACTAGATCCTTAGACAACACTGAAAAGAGGAATCTAATGCTAGGTAGTTGGTCATTTTTCCTGGTTTATACTGAACATAAACACCTAAAGTATCTATGTTAAAAAGTGACATCTGTTTGGTTCTGAATACTGCTGGCTATCAACATATCATCTAGCCGAAGCACACTCTTCATGTCTCATTTTTGTTAACACACACACACACACACACACACACACACACACACACACACTGACTTGAACATGGTGACAAATGCTCTGAATCTCGTGGGCAGACTGAGACATTGCTTCTCTCCATTGCATGACCCTTGTCCAGGGCAACCTGAACCATGCTCACAGTGCATTTAAAGGTCTGGCCTGTCCACTTGCCTCTTTATCCTGTAAAGCAGAGCTAGTTAGGGTTTTGTTTTGGTTTAGTTTTGCTTGTCTGTTTCATGGAACGCATGCTGAATAGTCATACTAAGAAGTCTAAAATCAAATACTGCATTGTAATTCTTGAGAACTCTTAGCAGCCAAAGGGAAAAAAACTGATTAAAATGTGATTATGTTACATGATCAGAGGGCTTGCATCTCTTCAATTCTAATTCTCTGAATATCCTAGGCATTCTAATAAAGATTTTGGCAAAATGTAACCAATAATGCTATGTGCCAATGTCACGGTTATTCGCTTCTCACAGAAACCAGATGCTCTGCAGTATTTTCTGTGATTTCCTAATGCTACGGGGAATCCAAATGCTTTCTGTTTCATTTTTTAAAAATTTCCTTCATAAGCCACTTCTTCTGATTAGCTCTATAAAGGTACGGATTACCAGAGGATGAGTTTGACAGCTTGTGGAGAGATCAAGAGAGCTGTTAGAACCCTGGAGAGAATAATGTGTGCATTTGAAACTCTCCTGTGAACTGGAACCCAGATGAGATCTGCCACGTTAATGACTTTTTCAAGGAAAAGAGAGATGGAGAATTATCAGAAGTAGGGGTGTAAGGATGGTGGGGGGGCTAGAGGAGAGTAGTATTTATTCAAGTATAAATTACCTAATTGCTCTGAAAGGAAATAAAATTTCAAGATGGAAATAATTAGAAATCAAATACATTTTTCAAGCCAAAGAAAGTTCGCATGTGTGGTTTAAGAAGTTCTGAGACCCCATGTTTGCACAAATGGGTTTATTATTAAATTCTTGGCTCCATGAGGGTGGGGATGGCCTCTTATTTACAATGTGATTCCATAGTACCTGATATTGTACCTGGCATACACAGATGAACAATACAGAGTTGATGAACCAGTGAATTTGGGCCCACACTAAGTGGGCCCCCGAGCTTTACTGTAAAATGCAATAAGTATTTTCTATAATATATGTGAAAGTTCTATAGATAGCACTAGTCATTGCAAGTGACAGTGGTTACTCGTTATGTCTTTTCACAGGATTGTTTCTACCTTGAATACAGTTTAGTGAGAAACAACTACACTAATGCTAAACAGAATGGATAAATGAAGAAAACTCTTGGATTACCAAAGTCCTTCATAAGCATAAATGCCATTTTAAATTATGTTTTTCAAAGGGCATGAACTATATCTCCAAGCAGTGCAGTATTAGTGAGTGGGTGGTAAGTATCTAGAAGTTTGGGGGAATTTCCCTTTATCATCCAATGAAAGAAAGAACAGGCTTTAATAATATGTACATACACATCTCTGTATGTATATTTTTAGAAGATGTGCAATTATTCACTACCATTGTTTTCTCAAAACTGTAGGGAATATGAAACAGTCCCACTTTGCTTGGGAAGTTATTTTCAGGTGCAAGACTTTAGCTTTAGAAGAGGCTGCCAAATTTAACCAGTTGATAATTTAATACAGATACCAGGTTAAGTAATTTGTAAACTTGATCCAACAGCGCCTCTAGATTTCCTCAAAGGATTTGCTGTTTTAATCACCTGTAACTAATTTGTCAATAGGAAAGAGGGTGTGGCAAAGGGGCACCCTTCCTTCGTGAAGGCTGAGCAAGAGAACTGATGTATAAATAGCTGGTTTCTCTGTCCAGCCTTCTATTCTACTGCTCTGTCTCTGCACTGGGCTTGCACGTGGTGTCCACACTGCAGATCAGCAGTCTTTAGCATCCCCTGACCAAGCCGGGTGGCTTGGACTAGACTCTGGACTAATCCCTCATTTGGGATTGTAGCTCATCTCATGCTGTTTTCATATTTGTTTCCCTTATTAGACTCATTTTTTTACATGGTATAGAGGCAACATGACTACTCTAAGTGTCACAGTTTCTTCTTCTTCCAATCACACTTTACATCTGTTTAAACGTACCATTGATAACAGAGGTCTAGCTATGTGTATTTCAACTTCAGAAATGAAGTTTCTATGGCTTATCTCAAATTCACTGATCAAGATTGATTTTCTTTCTTGCCAATAACACTAAAAGTGAGATCATTCATACTATGTGGGTTTGATTGTTTTGTCTCTGTTATTTGCTCTGGTGCGTCTAAAACCCATGTCTTGCTGTACAAACAGCTTTGCGCTTTCCTTAGGCCGCACAATGTGCTGTGTAGTGACATGCCGACTGAAGCTGCCTTTGGCTCCACCAATGCCCTTCCCACTGTTCCCTTTCATTTGGTTCTTATTATGGCTTCTTATCATAGAATTGGCCTGGAAAATGCACTTCTCCAACCACACAGCACTGGCCCCAGGTCAGCAAAACAAATGTTGATAAAAATATGAATAGTACACATTATATGTATTTACATATGCAGTCAGGAACTTCCATTAGCTACAGATTGCAATGATATAAGCCACTGTCTGCTATAGCATCCATTCTATGGGAATGTAGCTTGAAGGCATAGCTGTTAAGACACTGAAGAAATAGGGTTATGTGGGGAGCCCATCTGAGTTAGAACCTTGTCCAACCACTGCAGTGGTCCATGAAGATGGATCTCAATCCAGCAGGGGGTACTTGTGACATCCTGACGATGATACTCAGCTCCCCAGCCCTGCAAAGAAAAGAAAGGAATCTAGAGTGAATTGTGTCACCTTGCCTCAGCCTTCAGAGCCAGAGGGCATCAGGCAGAGCACAGGGGATGTGAAGCCCACATCCTGTAAGAAGTGGATGCCTGCTCTGAGCAGGTACCTCAGAGAATACACTCACAGCTAGACACTCACCAAGCGGTTGTCTGGGGCTCTACCCCATCATATGGGAGAGGCTGACAAGTCTCTCCTTCACAAGGGAAAGGAATCAACCTCATGTTCATGCACGCCCTTCATGTGGAAGCCTGTCTCTAAACAAAACTGCTACATGTTGCAGACCAGAGATCGGATCTGAAAGTTGCAAAGATAAGTGGCTCTTGATTTTCAGAGCTGTTATCAGAGCTAATTTATCTTTTCTTTCTGCCTCATTGAGCAATTTCCCATTTATCTCATTTGATAATAGGAGAAACAGTTGACTAAATGATAGATAATAGATACATAGATGACATTTATCTCTAATGTGTTATTTTAATTTTTTTTTGTTTATTTTTATTTTGTCTATGAATGTTTTGCCTGCATGTATGCAATGCCCATGGAGCCCATAAGAGGGCAATGGTTCACCTGGAACTGAAGTTACAGACAGTTGTGAACCACCATGCAGGTGCTGGGAACAGAATCTGGGTCTTCTGCAGGAGCCACTAGTATTCTTAACTGCTGAGCCATCTCTCCAGTTCTAGCCACTCTGATATGTTATCCATTAATGGAAAGTTATTTAAGAAATAAAGGGAGATCACAGCTAATAGATTATTTTGCTATTGATAACCATGATTCTCTATAATTATTTAAAAATTTCAGCATAGGGACTGGAGGGATGGCTCAGAGGTTAGGAGCATTTGCTGCTCTTGAAGAAGACCTGGGTTTGGTTCCCAGCACCCATACTGGGTGGCTCACCACTGCCTGTAACTCTAGTTCCAGGGGATCTTATGCTCTCTTGTGGTTTCTGGAGGCACCAGGCACACATGTGATGCACATACATACATGCAGGCAAATACATTTTAAAAAATCCTTAAAAAATTCAACATAGCCTGCTGCTTGGTCACTCTAAACTCATGATCACCATCCCTCTGTGACGCTGTGGGGCCTCCTGGCAGCTGCACCTGCTCCTCATGTCTCTCTCTTTTCTACCTGACTGCTCTATATTCCTGTTCCTCTTCCCCAAAAAACCTCTCAGGAACCTCCAGTTTTCTAACATTTCAACATGATACTGTCATCTGCAAAGTTCACACCTGAGAACAGTGCAACTGAGTTACAAGAAAATCACAAAAGAATCTCATGGTGTTTTAAGTAAATTTGGGGCCAAGTTCACAGCTATCCTCAGCTCTATATCGCCAATAGGTTGTGGAGTTGGACATGCCTGCATCTAACTCCTCTCTTACTCATCCTTTTTGTGAGAAAAATGAAGCCATCAGAAACAAGGCCTTTCTACTACACCTGCACCCACTTATTCAGCCATAGACTAATCATCCATCTTTCTAAACAAGCAGCTCCAACCATTGATGCATTCTTGGGCGTTTAGTCCTACAACTGCTTTACTGGTTGGCCTTTCTCAGCTTGCTTAGATCGCTGATTCTTTTCTCTTGTTTTAATGTTGAAGATTTCCAGGGCTTAGTTCTAGACCCCCTGCCCTCTGTGTTTAAATTCATACCCGTGGTGATCTCATTCAAACTTACAGAGTTTAATTACCTATAAGATGCTGACATTACATCATCCTTTTAAAAACATGGGCCTGGGATTCAAGCGATGGTTCATTAATGAAAGTTAATGCCCCCTGCTGGCCACAAAGCAACAGCGCGTCTGAAAGGTTTCCAGGGGTTTGTTATGTAAAATGCTGTTGTCCATCATCAAAAGAAGGTGGCTTTAAAAAGACACTTTTTAAATCAAAATCGATACATATTGATCCTTATTTTTATTTATTTATTTATTTTTATTTTATGTGCATGAGTGTATTGCCTGCATGTATGTGAGGGCACCCGGGTGGTGCAATGCCTCGGAAGCCAGAAGAGGGCTTCGGATTCCCCTGGAACTGGGGTCAAGGACAGTTCGTAGCCGTCCTGTGGGTGCTGGGAATCGAACCCCAGTCCTCTGCAAGAGCAGTCAGTGCTCTTAACCGACGAGCCATCTCTACAGCCCTGATCCTTATTTTTTAAATTACTAAAATTATAAATATGATAAAATATACTTAGAGTGTAGAAAAATAGGACAACCATAGACCATGGTAACTTTAACTTGATAGTAAAACGTACTTTAAGGCTGGAGATATAGCTCAGTGGAGGGTGCTTACCTAACACAGGTGAAGTCCGAGGTTCAGTCCCTAGCACTGCTTTTTTTTTTTTTTTTTTTTTTTTTGAAAAATTTTTTTTTCTTTTTGAGAAAGGGTTTCCCTGTAGCCCCATCTGGCCAGTTCGCTATATAGACCAGGCTGGCCTGGATCTCACAGAAATATGACTGCCTCTGCCTTCCTGATTGCTAGGATTAAAACCCTACACCACCACACCCAACTCCCTTAACATTGCTTTTTAAAAACATTTCCCGGAAGGAGCCGTACTTGTTGGCTGGATGGGGCAGGTAGCACTGTGAAAACTGTGCCACCTCACCCACAAGTTTGATAAACACATTAAAATTTGGAAGAGTGAGAATGATTTTTTCAGGATGAATCTCGCCTGCCTCAATGCTGATTCGTTTACAGCAGCACTGACTTACTGCTGTCTTAGCAGAGCCAGTTCTCTTTTGCAATTTATCTACAAACTTATTTCCTCCATTTGCCCAAAGCTTTCCTGGGCCAAGAAGATGAGCTTATTTGTTCATTGGATGACAGTTACGTTTGTCAATTTAAGAGATGGGGGAATCCATACTGCATTTACTTACCTCTCATTCACGTCACTGCATCTTCTGCTTTCAAAACAATCACACTGCTACTTTAGTTTTTCTCCAAAAGCAAATGTGAAACTTTCATGCAATTGCCAAACAAGATAGTTCATACTTATATCTTCTTAAAAACTGTTAATAAAATTCTCCCCAAAGACTTGTAATCCACCTGAATTGGCTGTGCAAATACCACCCAAAGCCAAGAGCCATTAGTGGTTTCTTCTCGTTTTCTACTTTACCCTCCAAAAGGCAACATCCTACCTTAACGAAGCTCATCCGGATAGTGCACATCTTAGTTAACTCATATACAACTTCAAAGCCATGGTGAACCGACTGGGCGAGCAGCTGAGCGAAGAGTTGGTTGTTGAAGACCTTGAGGCTGCACCCGCTGGGGATCTTGCAGACGGTGGCTGGGTGGAAACCATGCTGGTAGTTGCAGTTCCTGCTCTGCACGAAGATGCTGCTGTCACTCACGCACTCAGCATATACCTCACCCCCAACGTAGTACAAATGCACACCTGTGGGCACAAAAAATGGCCTTGCAAACACCATTCTTTCTCAGTAACTCAGCACTTCAAGAGATAGGACCTTCTACTATCAGGTTCACTCTCACATCACTGGTCACAGATGAGCAAGATGTGTGCCTCAAATGCCCACTTGTTTTCATGACAGTCTTTGACTTTTCCTGCAAGTCCATTAGAAAGTCCAACCCACGTGAATGTCCATTCTGGTTCAAGAGAACCAGTCAGTACTCTTCCACCGATTACAGCTCTCATAAATTTCCATCTCACACATTCCAAAATTAGCTTCATATATAAACACAAAATGCAAATAGAATGACTCCAGTTAATATCAAGAAAATGTTATTCCAGTGCACACACTAAACCTATTCCAAATGCACCAACAATTGGAGTTTAAGGTGTATCTTACTAACAGTTACAAATCTATTTCTTGAAATAAGCATTTCACTTGAGGCTTATCCCTCCTTGCTATAAATCACAGCATATGATGCACGTGAACAGCAACATTCCCACTACACTTTTACATATGATCACGTAAAAACACAAGCAAAATGTAGCTTATATCAATCTGTCTAACACACTTAGTATTAAAATTCAAAAGAACATCCTGAATGTTGTATATATAGACAATGGGATTTTATTCAGCTGCAAAGAAGCATGAGATTATAAATGAACTGGAGATTATTAGAAATAATCCGGACTCAAAATCCTCTCCCCAGCTTTCCCCTCCCCTTCCCTCCCCTTCCCTTGCCTTCTCTTCCTTCCTCTCAGTTTTCCTCTCCCTTTCTTCCTCATCTCCTCAAAGAGCCTCAGGCCTGATACCCCACAACCCAGGTCCTTATGGGGTATCAGCTGAAGGATGGCTCTGAATGGATGGAACATGGTACCTTGGCTAGATCATCACCACTGGAGTCAGTGCTGCCTCCCCTCACCACACTGTGCACACAGGGTAGGGGATCTGCCCCAGGACTGTAGGGCTCTTAGTAGGGAAGTGGATGGTAGTATTCAGAATGGGACTGCTAAAGGCTTAGCAGGTATTTGAATTGGATGCCCTTCAAGTACATAATCCTCCCGGAACCTATTCTGTAGAATAGATAAGATTTTTGTTACCTGACCCTGATCTGTCTTTATTTGGGGGATGTTTTCAGTCATGTTGAAGTCTTATCTGCAAACCCAGCACAAGTTGGCAGAATGATAAAGGCAGAGGAGAGAGCTGGCAGGTGGGTTCCAAGAGGAGGAAGCAGAGCCCACGGGCTGAACACAGGAGCCTGCTCTGAACACCAGGTGGTGACAGAATGGAGCTGCCAATGTAGGCTGGGCTCTGGCTGGAGACAGCAACATCTACGGAAGAGTCAAGCAGGGATGTGGTCTTATTTGACCCTTCTCGAGGGCCAACATAGTGGCTTTGAGCTGTTAAGTGTCAGATTAGTTTGACAAGGTTCAACCTGCCTAGAAATCACTTGTAGGAAGCATTCAAACAGACTGCTGCCTAGTGAGGTGGGCAATTTGCATTTCAGTATGTTTCCAGATTAATGTTGCCCTATGTGGAGAACCACAGATTGGGAGTTGTGTGACAGAGCAGTCCTTTGAATCAGATGGGATGTTGTTAAGCATGGAATACTTGATAACGACTTCCATAGACTTATCCCATTCTGTTCATGGATGGCAGCAGGCAGCCTCCTGAATTTCTATCTCTGCCAGGATTTCACCTCACTGAAGAGCAGTACTTGTGACATACGGCATTCCTTTAAAGCAGTACAGGAGAAAGTGAGCATGGCAGGCATTTCTGCAGTCAACTTCATGCCAGCTCTTCATGAGGTGCTGAAAAGTGACATCATACCTTTCCTTGTTGCAATAAAATACGCCACTAACACATTTATTGTAATGGAGAAGTGTTGATAAGGCAGGATAAAGCAAAGACATTACAATCCCATAGCTGCTCTCCAAGCAGTAAGGATGAATGGCCCAAAGAAAGTACCAGCCAGGTCCAGGGCTAGGGCTCAGTGGGAGAGCACTCACCTACCACGAGCAAGATCCCCAGTTCACTCCCCAGCAACACACACACACACACACACACACACACACACACACACACACTAATTGTGCATAGTAGCACTTGGTCGCTTTCTCAGGAGGTTGAAGCAGAAGGATCTTCAATTCAAGGCCACCTTGGGCTACATTGCAAGAACCCGTATCAAAAAAACAGGCACAAAAAAGAAATGTGCACCTGGGGCTGCAAAGAAATTCCAGGCAATGTGGTCTTTGGGCAGGTTCTGCCCAGATCTCAGGTTACATTGGTGCTGGGGTTGTGTGCTGGATAGCTTCATTTGTCAACTTGACACACCTGGGTAGAGGGACTCTCAACTGGCCTGTAGCCATGTCTGTGGGGGGAGCATTTTCTTGATTGTTGAGTGATGTGGCAGGGCCCAGCCCACTGTGAGTGGTGCCACCCACCCTGGAGCTTCCCCTGGTTTTCTCTGCATACCTATTTTAAAACCTGGCTGATTATCAAGACTGTCTGGGGTTTTCAGAAAGTGTATACCTTTGGACACAATAATGGTGTTTTTAAAGATTCCTTATAAAGCAGATGGGTAAAGGGGTATGAAATCTTGAGATTTGCTTTAACATATGCAAGTAAAATACTGTGGCGGACAAATGGCACCCAAGGTTGATCATTAACAAGTCTGGGGACAGCAACATGAAGACTAGTTAGACTACTCCGCCTCTGCATTTGTATTTGAATTTTCCACACACTATGTCATCAAAAAATAACATGATAGGGCCAGGCTTGGTGGAGCACACCTTCAATCCCAGCACTTGAGAGGTGAAGGCAGAAGCAGGCCGATCTTGAGATCAAAGCCAACTTGGTCTACAAAGTAAGTTCCAGGTCAGCTGGGACAACAGGGAGACCCTGTCTCAAAACAAACAAAACAAAATAAAACAAACCCCCTAAAAAAGAAAAGAAACAAACAAAACCATGAAAATACAGTCTTCCAAATCCACATTATGGCTTAGGTCAGGGGACAAAACCTGGCCTCCACAGAACTGTACCTACAGTTCTACAAGGCACAATGCTAGTTTTGTCTCATTTTCTTCCAAATTGTGGGTATGGGTGTGCATGTGTGTGCACACATGTGGAGGCCGGTGGTCAACCTCAGATATTATTTCTTAGGCACCATCAACCTTGCTTTTTTTTTTTTTTGAGACAAGGTCTCTTATTGGTCTAGATCTCACCAAGTAGGTTAACCTTCCTGGACAAGAAGACCCAGAGATCTGCCTGTCTCTGCCTCCCCAGTGCTGGGATTAGTGTATGCCAACACACCCAACTTTTTTCCAAGGGTTCTGAGAACAGAACTCAGATTCACATGTTTGCCCAGCAAGCACTTTATTGACTGAGCTATCTCCCCAAACCCCTTTTTTAAAGTATTATAACATTACTATAATATTTTCCCAGCAGATATAGTGATCTCCCTTGAGAAAGGGGCACCTTTTCCTAATTCCCACAAAGTTTCCTCTGGGATATAACAAGGCTGGTCTTCCAAATCTCTATCTGGAGAGTAGGTCTCTCTGAACAATGATATACAGACTGGTTTGAGCTCAGTTGCACAGCACTGAGTGTCCTATCACTGTCAATCACACAATAGGCCACTCCTCCTGGGCTGCTCTACATGCTTCTCTGTCACTACTGTTGCAGCACACCCGGAGCCCTGCACAGCCTGTATCCCTCACCATCCTCACATGAGCAAGAAGTCCACTATAGGAAACTTAAGACATACAGACACAGGTTGTCTAGCTCAGTGGTAGTCTATCATGCAAGAGGTCCTAGGTTTTGTCTCCTAGAGTATATAAAAACCAAACCAAACAACAAACAACATGGAAAATAAAAGTCAACCATAAATCAAGCACCCAGAAATCATTAAAGTCAACTTCTATTATAGATCTTTACGTCTATTTAAGAGCATTTTTTTTAAAAGTTAGGGTCTCATGTAGCTCAGGCTAGCCTCAAACTTGCTATGAGGATGACCTTTCACTATCAAGACTCCTGTCTCCATTTCTGCAATGTTAGGATTATAGACATGCACAGCCATGCCTGTCTTTAAGTTTTTTTTAAAAATTTAATTTATTAAATATTTTAATTTTATGTGTATTACTATATTGCCTGCATGTAGGTAAGTACACCCATGTCATGCAATTCTCAAGGAGGTCAGAAGAGGGTGTTGGATCCCCTGGAACTGGAGCTACAGATGGCTGTTAGCTGCTATGTGGGTGCTGGGAATTGAACCCAGGTCCTCTGCAAGAGCAGCCAGTGCTCTTAACCATTGAGCCATCTCTCTAGCCCCTTTAAGAGCAGTTTTTTTTTTTTTAACTAAATTGAGCTGGGCATACATCTTTAATCTCAGCACTTGGGAGGTAGAGGCAGGTAGATCTCTAAGAGTTCTAGGCCAGCTGGGGCTCCAGGGAAATCCTGTAAAAAACCCTAAACAATAACAAAACAAACAGACAAAATCTAAATTGAGATTATATTCTGCAAGATGTCTTAAACCTTTTTTTCCAGCTAGTAATATATTGTGTATGACATATTCTTCAATGTCAAAGTCCATGGCTGCCAAAGGATGGCACCCTGTGCTGAGGCATTTTTTTAGGATTTACTTTTTTTAAGGTAAGAAACCTTGTATGTGTCTAGAACCAGAACAGAAAGGGTATTTGGAGGCAGAGAAATGAATCCTTGGGCAAGGAAGCAATGCACATAGCACTGGAGAGGGATGCTCCTTCTAGGAGCTCACAAACCAGACTTTTGTGCTAGGATAATTGATTTTGTAAACAGGGCACTACTAGAATTCCACAGAACGGAAGCAATATAAAACGAAACAAGCCCTTAATCCCAAAATCAACTCAGTCATTTGAAATATGTGGTAATTACTTTCAGGACAGTCTTGGTTTAGTTCAAGTTCAATACCTGGGCTTATTTGGAAGCTGAGGTCATCTGAAAAACTGCTTTAAAAGAGTGGGTGAACATTACTCCACTTATCTAGGCTAGCTACTGTGTCACTCCTAAAAAAAACCAGGAACTGACCTTTGTTCTGTTTTGTTCAATTACACGTTAGCAACCTATGCCAGGACTGACCATAATCACCTTCACTTTCTCCCATGGAAAGAAGAAAGAGACCAGGAAGAACAAATGTGGTGGGTCTGGACCTGCACATGAGAAGTGAGCCCGGCTTGCTCTTACTCAGTGTCCCTTCAACGTTCCACTGAGCCAACTTCAGTGACATCAGAAATCGCAGGTGCTTGGAAGTACCGGACTATCCACTGTGAATATATTAAACTGCCAGTTTCTAAGAAATACAATCTCACCTTAAGACTCACTCTCTTTCAGCCAATTCAAAGCTGTAGTTTGACTAATCATTTGGAAATTAAAACCATCTGAGAAGTTACTCTAAAACAAGCAGATATCTTACTCGAATTATCTGGTTGGCAATTTCATCATTACTAAACCATGGAGACCAGCCCTGTGCTCTATTTAGTTCTGTCAGACATCGGGATGATGCCAGTGGCTCTTTGTCTTTCTTCTGTAAAGACCCTTTGAGCCTTCTCACAGAAGTCGGGGCTCCCAGTAATTCCTGGGGGTATTACTCCTTTTCTAGTGTGGTGTTTTTGCAAAGAAAAAAATAAAATCTCAACTCTAAAATTTCCATACTGTTACGATTGGAGGCTTCTTTCAACATTACACAACTGATCAGAATACATGATTGCTTTGGCTTAGGATGGATATTTGCATCCGACCTGGGAAGAGTCATTTCTGTGAGTCATGCATTAAATGAAATGTACTAGGATGAAAAGGCAGCAGGTCCATTCCCTCCTGCAGAGGGGAGTGGCTAGACCACAGGTACGGATCTCTGATGTCACTAGCTGGCCAGGCAAGCTACTGAACTCTCTGTTCTTCAGCTGTATCATCAGTGCAATGGGGTGAATAGAGAACCTGACTTGCAGAATGGTTCTAAGGATCAGAAACAACAGGCACGAATGGACCCCAGGGTGCCTTGTGCATACTGAGTAATCAATGTGGGTTGCCATCCTCATTGTTGCTGTTTTATAACTTAACAAGTCACTGTGAGTTCAAGTGTCTTGTCTTGTCTTACATCCACGGAAGACGTGGACAGGTTCCATGTGAGGATCCAGTGTTCTAGACTCTTTGCCTCTGGGATTTGCCAGAGCTGACTTGTCAGGCCCTGTTTAAGGCATCTTGCTAGCAAGGGCACAGTAATGGATTCAGTTCCCTTTGCTGCAGTTAACCATTGCATGGCCACAGACATACTGCTTCACGACCTTTCCCATGAGATGGCCAGCAGGGTGGGAAGATATGGGGGCACCAGAAGAAACACCCCCACTGGCAAACACAGAACTAAAGAGCCCACACAGCTGACAGGGCCAGCATTTGACTCTTTTGGCTAGTTTTCAGTAACAAAGCATCACAAACCAAAGTGGCCCCAAAGCGAACTGACCACTTCTAAAGAGAGAAATGGATCATCACTAACTCTAATAAAAATATATTTTGTAGCTGTGCATGGTAAGGCACACCTTTAATTCCAGCACTCGGGAGGCAGATTGAGGCCAGCCTGGCCTACATAGTGAGTTCTAGCCAGCTGGGCTACAGGGAGACTCTGCCTCAAAAAATCAAGCAAAATATTATATCTATTTTGTCTCCATCTTTGATCTCTGCCAACTCCCCACAGTCTAATCTCAATATAGCAGCCCTGGGGGCCTTTGAAAGTATAAATTCAGATTATATGAACTATCCTTAGCCTAAATCTATCTTCCAATTTCAGAGTCAAAAATCCGTAAACTAGCCTCACAGCCCCAGACAGCTGGTCCTGTCCATTTACTCCATGTACTCTGGTTTCTTGCTTCTCACTCTATGTGCGGCTTGCTCAGAGTTGCTGCCCTTGCACTTCCCTGCGTGTGGAAAGCTTTTCTCTCCTGATATTCTCAATGTTAATTCCCTCTTGAGCTCTCTGCTCAATATCCCCTCCTAAGGAAGCTTTTCCTGGACTAAAAACGAGCAATCCCCTCCCCATTACTGCCCTCCTGCTTGGTTTTCTTCCCTTAACACAGTATAGATTGCTTCTTGCTTGACTTTCCCTAGCTGCAGGAATGCATGAAGGCAGGAGACTATGTCTTGCTTTCACTGTCCTATCCCCAATGTCCAGTTTGGCAAAGAAGATGTACTCACTAGGGGCTGAAAGCACACCTTTAAAACTTGGGCCTCTACTAATCAACTCTGCAGATCAAGTGCACTCAGCTGGTCATCAGAACTACATTCTACAGCAATTTAGGCTCATGCCCCAGGAAGTCATGGTGCTTAGAGGCAGACATCCACCTGCCATCTGAGAGATAGATACTCCTGAGACCTCACAGAGATCCATGGCCTTGCTTTAAAGCATTCACACCCACACTTTATTTTCCTGCCAAACTTTAAGGCATGCTTTGTAGCTCCTTTTATGTACATCTTTTGTTCATATTAATGCCTCAGAAATGAGCAGCTTTCTGAGGTTACTGCAATTCTACCTCAGGGACCAATGCCAGTGGTGTGCCTGTCCATCTAAGAGAATGCTGAGCTGGGTGCTATGGCTTTCAGAAGTGGCTGTCAGTTCTGGCTTTTGCGCCTGTGGCTTGTTAGTTCCACTGAGGAGCCCCCAGTCAGCAACACAGACCACCTGCTCCTGTATCCCTCTTGTCCTCAGTAGCTCCTTGAGCAAGCTACTTGCAGAAACATCCCCAGAGGACATTCAAATACAACTTTCATTTCTGTTTATTTGTTTCCTTGAGATCAGGTCTGGCTATGTAGCCCAGGCTAACCTCAAATTCATGGTGATCCTCCTGCCTCAGTCTAGAGAATGCTGGGATTACAGATATGATCCACCACACCCAGCTACTCATATTTCAATTCTATCTTTGGATCCACTGGCACCAGCCAAAGACTATAATGTAGACCAATTTGAAAAAGCCCCAACAAAGAGTTCCAACAAGGTTAGGGGTTAATTTTTGTCTTTAAATTTCTCCAGAGGGTCTCATGAAAATCATTAGAAGGTAAAATTATACCCCAAGAAACTGGCTTAAAAATTCAAGTTGAGGGGGTGACTAGAGAGACGGCTCAGCAGTTAAGAACACTGGTTGTTCTTGCAGAAGACCTGGGTTTGAATCCCAGCACCCACATGGCAGCTAACAACTGTCCGTAACTCCAGTCCCAGGGGATTCGACAGCCTCTTCTGTCCTCTGTGGGCATTGCACGACATGGGTGCACTTACCTACATGCAGGCAATA